GGTGCTGGTGCGGCGCCTGGGCCGTCACAGTGGGCGCGAAGCGAGCCTCGCTTTTCAAAACGGCTCTGGCGCGGACTGATAATCACAATGTATCGAGCGAGGGGCCAGCGATCCAAACCTAATTTTTCAGATCGGCTCTGGCGCGGCGCTGGAGCCATAACCATGTATAGAGCGAAGGGGGGCACGAGCCAAAACATACATTTTCCGATTGGCTCTGGCGCGGTGTGGGGCCACCACAATGTATCGAGCGAGGCCGGCGCGAGACAACATACAATTTGTTGAGATCGATTCCAGCGCGGCGCCGGGACCATAACAATGTGTCTTCCCCCGCCGTCCTATTCCAACGACCCCCCCTCCGCTCCATGTCCATATCATCAACCACCGTCGTCATCACCTTCGCCCTCACCCTTCTCCTCCTTCTCCGGCCACCCGCATCAAAAAGAACTCTACATCATCATTGACATCATCAGCCGTTATTGTCCAAACGCAGCAAGTCCGTGGTTAGACGCCGATGGCAAGCTCACCAAATGGGCCCAACACGCCTGGCGAGCCAGTGGCAGCCAGTGCCCGTCGTCGGCGACGTCCGCGGCCTCAGGAGTCGCAGGGGAGGCCAAGGGGGAAGCCCAAGGCCAAGGCCAAGGCCAAAGCCAAACCTGAGCCTCAACATACAGGTGCGCCAGCTAGTGGCAGTGCGGACCGAAGTGGACTGAACTCGACTCCTTCCAAAATGGGTGGCCAGATGGTCATGCAAGTCGTTGCTGGGAACGGGCTCCTTGGCTATACTGTTCCGTCCACTGGGGGCGGTGGGTACATGCACGCGGCACGCCGGCCAGTGGCAGCGACGACCCTCCGGCAGCGCCTGCCTCGTCCAACACTTCAAGCTGGCCAGTCAGCCTCTTTAGGCACTGCTCGTTTGGATTTGGACTTCCGTCTGCCGTTTTGGCGCTTGCTGCACTCAGTGAGTTAACGAATCCTCATCACAACCACCGTCGCCATCATCATGCCAGAACCGCTGCCAACGCCGTCATCATCTTCACCATCAGACGCCGCAGGGTCCCAATCAGCAGCGACGAGGCCCCAGTTTCAGAACGACCCCTGCCTCCCAGACGTCCGGCGCCACACTTTTTCGGGACGGGCCCCTGGCCTCTCGACCACCTCTCTGGGACCAGCGTTTTTATCCCGAGTCGTTTCTGGACGGCCCCGAAGCCCTCTGAGGGCCCCGAGATGCTAAAAGCTGTGAACGGCCTCCTCCTCGTCGCCGGATGCGTGGGTCCCTGCCGGGCCGCACCTGCGCGGAGCCGGCCCTCCGAGTTCCCTTCGGCGCCACTGCTGCCAGCGTGGCTCGAGTGCGACCTCTCGAGGGACAAAAAATTGAAGTGTTCGCATGCAACCCTTGGGAGGTCAAGTTCTGATTTTGCCCTGGTCCGAACTCCCGTTTATCCCTCGCAATCCCGCTTAATCGGCTTTAATCCCGCTTAATCCGCGGCCTAACCCGGCGCAGTAGCCCCCCCATGGGGCTCAATCTTCCTGAATCCTTCCGACGAAGACATCCCAGTAGTTGCCTCCAGAAACAGACGGTCACGCACTGTGGCTTAGCGTGTGGCTCCGCCAGTTCTGGCCCACCACGCTTGGGTGCGACACGCGTCAACGTCCCATGTTTTTCCGAGCCTCCCGCCCCGCGGAGCGGAGCGACGCGCTATCCGCATTCTAGGCATAGCGTGTCGCTGGGGCCGCCGCAGCGACACGCTAAGCAAAAACTCCCCACCATAAATTATCAGAGGTTCGCACGGATTTCTTGGATCGGCGCTGGAGCCCAATTCCTGGCGCGTGGAGAGCGCGCTAGGGGCGGCTTGGAGGCGCTGCCAGGGGGGTCCAGCGCTGATCCAAGAAATCCGCTCGGAGCTCAGCAAGTTCATGTTCCCTGAGATCCGGCAGCAGCATCGAGAGAAAGCACAACCAGTTCCCTAGACCCCATTTTTCTGCATCATTGTTCCACCTCCGTCAATTTGTGAGGGTCCTGGGGCCCGAAACCCGAAACCGGGTGACAACGTCCAGTGTGAAACAATCGCAACTCCCGGATGCCACTCTTTGTTTCTAGGCCTCCTAAATGGGGTCCGAGTCGATTGGGTCGGAGAATCGTGCCGCATCGCCGATGAATCGACGACGCGGCCCGATGTGGAGCCCGTGTTTCCCCACGCCGACGTCGCCGATGCATCGCTGACGCATCGCCGATGCATCAGCGATGCATTGGCGACGCGGCGCGATCCTTCGACACCACCTTTTCGGACCCCATCTACAGTCGGGGCGCTGAAGAAGGAACCCTTGGCGTTGGGGAGAGACTCTGTGTTCCTTAATTGTTTCGAAGTTCTGCAAGGCAAGGGGCCTCGTTCCTCATCTAGGGTTCTTTAGGTCAACGCCCCGACAGTAGGAGGCCTCTATTGTCAAGGGCATAAAAAAACGCCCCTACCATGGTTTACGAGGCGCTGTGCGCTGAAACTCCTGTGGGCTGACAGGGTAAACCCTGCGTAATGTGCCGCGTCCTGGCGGCTCTAGGCTTTGGGGGTTCCCAGGAGGTTTACAGACCACGCACTTGTAACCCAGGATAGGGTCGTCTTTTGATCCCTCAATATTGTCCCTCGAACTTCTCCCGCCGCGCCGCGGGGCCGCGCCGGCGCGGCGCGGCGGGGCGGCGGGTGCTGCTGCGGCTGGCGGGCGAGCTGCAGGGCCGGTGCGCCGCCGCGCCCGCGGCGCGGGCAGCGGCCGTCCAGCGCGGCGCCGCGGCCGCGCGGCACTCCGCAGACCGCCGCGCACCGTTGGAAGAAGACAAACTTGCGCAAACTTATCATCCTCCTCCTCCTCCTCCTCCTCCTCCTCCTCCTCCTGCTCCTGCTCCTCCTCATCCTCCTCCTCCTCCTGCTCCTCCTCCTCCTCCTCCTCCTGGAGCGTATACAGTACCAGTGGCGGGCTGTTTTTCTATCCGCCGACTTCTTGAGGGTCGAGGACGACGCTGGGGTGGTGTGGGGTATGTTTTTTTCTCCGATGCCCTGGGGGAACAGCGAAAAATGGATACACCAGGGTCCAGTATACACCAGGATCCGCTCTGCAGTGCAAATTCCAATGCAGGGCCGGAACAAGCGTCGGTGTATAGAGTTTGATGCCCTATTAGAATTTCCGGAGCTCCGCGTGGATTTTCTGGATCAGCATTTCCGCAGCGACAGGCTGCACTTTTCAGAGCGACGCGCTGGATCGACAAGTCTGCGTAAACTCAAAGCTTTTGCAGCGACATGCTAGGCAAAAACTCCTGGCGGTCAATTGCCAGAGGTTCGCGCGGATGTCTTGGATCGGCGCTGGGCCCCCCTGGCGGCGCCTCCGGCGCCGCCCCTGGCGCGCTCCGCGCGCCAGGGAGGGTGGTCCAGCGCCGATCCACGAAGAGATCCACGCGGACCTCCAAGACCTGATGTTTATGCAATTGTGTTTGATTCTCTAGCCGCGGGCACAAAGTACGGTGGGAGGTTTTCTCAGCATCGTCTAACCTACGGTGGGGGCGTTCGTTGCGGCATGCGCCTCGGAGGCTTCAGACCCTGAAGGATTCTTTGTGTCTGGTGAGGGCGGCGGTGATATCCATGGCCTCACGACAGCAGTTCCACCGACTTGCAAACCCTGGAGAATCCTTACCCACTGGACCCGATGTCCTCACCGTATCCCCATCCCCTCTTGGCCATGGCATCTCAGCGCCGCAACCACACCCTCCCAGGTGGGGACAGGCCTCGCGAAACCCTCGAGAACAGGCATCTGAATCATATATCCCCTCATGGGTGGGTAAGTCGGTCAGGGGGGCAAAGACCACGTGAGTGGAGATAGGGATCGGTTAAGCGATGCTCATGTTCTGCCATCTTCGGTGTACAGGCTATCGTTCCTGGCGACATGCTGTTTGCGGTATTGCTCCTGGCGACATGCTATCGGCAGGCCCGAACACTCGGAACGACACGGTCTTGCGTCGGGGCCAACGAACGAGTTGATTGCGACATGTCCCATCCAGACGAGACACTGCGCCCCCTCCTTGCTGCCCTTGCTTGCTGTACCTTTGGGCCTCTGCACAATGCTGACCCCGCAGCCAGACTGAATCCAGATCATTCCTTCACCCCCGATCTCAACATCCTCGTCCTCATCATGATCCCTGCTCGGGATAGCTGCGTGCGATCAGCCTTGCTCCACGTCCTTTTCGTCCTTCTTCCCAGTTGTCTGTGTCCGTCCTCTCATCCTCCCCCTCCCGTTCCTCGTCCCCCTTCCTCATCATCCCCCTGCGTCTCCTCACCCCTCCCTCCTCGTCCTCCTCCTCTCCCCCCCCTCTCATCCTCCTGCTCCCCCTCCTGTCTTTCCTCCCTTCCTTCCATCCTGCCTCATCCTTGCTCCATCGCCCCCTCCCACGCCTCCCCCCCTCCCCCTTCCACGCCTCCCCGCCCCCTCCCACGCCTCCCAAGGCTGTCGGTCCGCGCGGGTGCGGAGGGGGGAGGCAGCAGCCAGGAGGCGCATCCCTATGCTTGCACGCGTGCGTACAGTTGGACCGAGGTGTGATATCGAGGTCGGTTCGGGGGGGTACCCTCGTGTTCTTCGTGTTTGTTGGACGTTCTTGTGCATCCTGGGGGAATACCCGTAGATGTTCTGTTTGCTTTGGCCGACGGAGGGTTTCATGTGATTGAGGGATGTTTTTCTGGCCTTAGTCCGACTTTACTTTTCACTACGGTTGCACCTGCCCGCATTCAGCAACGAACGCGATGGCCGTGAAGCCCACAGATCCCGGTCATTCTGCAAAGGTCCTCCTCCCTCCCTGTGCGCGAGGCTCCAGCGGACAGACAGAGCATGCATACGCGGACTGTCAACCCGCCCTGTTTGCGCCCGCGTCCCCGGGGGGCTCCTCCACCCCCCTCAACCTTTGACCCTGCAGAGGTTCACGGCGACGTGCCCGCGACGGGGCCATTTTCATGACGCGCGCGCGCCAGGACAGGAAGTACCTGAAGCACAAGGACTTCACGTGGGGGGACGTCTGGAGGCCGCCGGTTCCTCAACCTTCGCCTCTGCCCGCCTCCTCCTTGGCGGCACCCTCCTCCCTCGCCTCCTCTTCCACAGCGTCCTCATTCGCCTCCTCTTTCTCTGCATACGGTTGGCTCAAGCTTATCGTATCACTTGTGGATGTTACCACCCTGCTGACTGTGGACGTATCCACGAGCATGATTGACTATAGCTAATCATGCTGCCAACTATTATATAGCCGCTTGAGGCGAGAAGTTGTTATGCCCCAGCGCCTTGCTAACGCTTTGAGGTACAAGAACTGATTTGGCTGCTGATGTTACCACCCCGCTCACCTCCCTTTCCGCTGCAATTAGACTTGACGCAGCAGCGCTTTCTGTCCCAGCCCCGGTTGCGGCGACGCCAGGAGCGGGACGCCTCCTCCTTCTCTTCCCCCTCTTCCTCAGTCAGACCGTCCTCCTCATCCTCTTCCTCCTTCTCCTCCTCCCCGTCCTCCTCTTCCTCGTCTTCGTCCCCCTCCTCCTCCTCGTGCTTGTCCTCGCGGGCCTTGTCGTCGTCCTCCTGTTGTTCCTGATGTTCCTCTTCCTCGTCGCCGTCGTCGTCGTCGTCGTCGTCGTCGCCTTCCTCCTCTTCCTTGTCCTCCTCCTCCTCCTCCTCCTCCTCCTCCTCCTCCTCCTCCCCCTCTTCCTCGGGGAGCCGGGTATTCACCGCTGGGATGGAGGGTCTGGCAAACATGCAAGTTGAAGAATGGTAATCCCATCCGGCAGGCTAGAAGGCCTGGGGGGGACCCAAGCAGACTGACGGCGGAAGGCGCTCAAGTTGAACAGTGGGTGCCCCATCCTTTGTGGCCTGAGGGTCTGACGGTACTCACGTATCGTTATCCAGCAGGATCGAGGGCTTGGAACTGGACAGACCAACCAGATCATCATCAGAGGAACAAGAGACCAGCCAGACCAGCCAAACGCCGCTGGTGGGGCTCCGCCACATGCCAAAAAATTGCAACGCAAACAAACAACTGCAAAGAGGAAGCAACACTGCAATGCAACAAACAACTGCTTTTCGGTGGTAGTGGTTGGCTCTGCCTCCCTGGACCTCCCCCAAATCATTCTCGTCTAATCCGAAGCTAAAGTTTCAGCACTAAGCTTACACACCAGCCTGACCAGATGCAAAATAAACGGCAACGCACACAACACTGCAAAGGAACAAACACAGCAATGCAAAATAGCGGTTCTTCTGTGTTACAGGTTGGCGTTGCTTTCCAGGACCTCCCCTAAGCCGTTCTCGCCCGAAACATAAGCTACAGCTTCGGCATTGAGCTCAACCCACACCAACCAGACCAGCCAGGCCATATGCAAAAAAAACATCTGCAAGGCAAGAACATCTGCAAAGGCTCGCCAAACCTGCAATGCAACGCACAACAGTTTTTCGGTGGTAGTGGTTGGCGCTGCCTTCCTGGACCTCCCCTAAACCACTCTCGTCTAATCCGAAGCTAAAATTTCAGCACTAAGCTCCTAGCAGACCAACCAGACTAGCCTGACCAGATGCAGACAAAACTACATCGCAACAAACTGCGAAGCTAACTAACTGCAAAGCAACAGAAACTGCAATGCAACAAACACCGGCTTTTCGGTGGTAGGGGTTGGCGCTGCCTCCCTGGACCTTCCCCTAAACCACTCTCGCACGAACTCTCAGCTAAAGCTTCAGCACTAAGCTCAAACCAGGCCAACCAGACCAGCTATACCATATGCAAAAACAACTGCGACGCAAACATCTGCAACGCAAAAAAAAACACCTGCGATGCAAACACATGGTTTTTCGGTGGTAGTTGTTGGCGCTGCCTCCCTGGGCCTCCCCAAAACCACTCTCGCCCGAACCCTACGCTAAAGCTTCAGCACTGCGCTTCAACCGGGCCAACCAGACCAGCTATACCGCATGCAAAAACAATTGCAACGCAAAAATCTGAAACGTAAAACCAAACTTGCGATGCAAGCACTTTGTTTTTCGGTGGTGGTGGTGGTTGGCGCTGCCTCCCTGGACCTCCCCTAATCCACTCGCCCGAATCCTAATCCAAAGCTTCGGTACTAAGCTCAAACTAGATCAGCCAGACCAGATGCAAACAAAACTGCAACGCAACAAACACTGCAAAGGAACAACTATAGCAATGCAAAGCAGCGGTTCTTCGGTGTTAGAGGTTGGCGCTGCCTTCTTGGACCTCCCCTAAGCCATTCTCGCCCGAAGTATAAGCTAAAGCTTCGGCACTGAGCTCAAGCCAGACCAACCAGACCAGCCTGACCAGATGCAAAACAAAAACCTGAAACGCAGAAACAACTGCAGAGGTGAACCAACACTGCAATGCAACAAACAACTGCTTTTCGGTGGTAGTGGTTAGCGCTGCCTCCCTGGACCTCCCCTAAACCACTCCCGCCCGAATTCTAAGGTAAAGCTTCAGCGCCAAGTTCAAACCAGACCAACCAGACCACCCAGACCAAACCTAAAGCTTCAAGCTCAAGCTTAAGGCTGAAGCTGCAAGCTCGCTCTTTTGAAACTTGGCGTCCCGCCGGGCGCTACAACGGCTAAGAACTTTATTGCTACATGGCCATGGCGGCTCCGATTCACGAGGTACGTTCTTTTGCATCCTGGGGGAGGGTACCCTTGGGGATGTTTTGATTGTTTTGGCCGACGGAGTGTCGCCTGCTCTATGAGGATGTTGTTCTGTCTTTTGTCCGACTGCAGATCGGATCGGAGCGGAGCCTGCATCGAATTGATCCCTGGCGGCGCCTCTCCGCCGCTGCCCTTGGGCCGCTCCACAGGCATCAGGGGGGAGGGGTGCCCAGTGCCTTGGCATTGCTCGGACGTGCGCATGCTCTCCTCGGCGAGGCCATCGCAGAGCATCCTGGATCATCTGGCAAAAAGGAACGCGCGAAACCGAACGCATGCACGGGGAATGGACGTCCGAGCGATGGCAAGATGCCGATCCAAGACATCCGCAAGGAATCTGCAAGTGTCTGCGTACAGCGACGTTTGCCCAAGGGAGGGATCGTCGGGCAGGGCTAGCACGAGGACAAATCCGTTCCAGAGCGTTCTAGAGCGTTCTCAGACCGTTCTGGAGCTCTTTGAGAAGGCCGCGGCGCCCGAGATATCCTCCAGAGCCGCCGGATCTCCGAAATGCTCGATTTATCCTCACCTGAGCTTATCCTCGTCAAGGCTTTTTGTTTTATTCAGATGCAACTCCTGTGAGGTCAAGTTCTGACTTTGCCCTGGTCCGACCGGCATCATCCGGCGCGTATCCGTTTAATTTGGCTTGATCCCGTTGAATCAGGCTCAATCCCGCTGAATCCGCGGCCTAATCCGTTGTAGCAGCCCCCCAATGGGCCTTAATCCTCCTTGAACCTTCCGACGAAGACCTTCCAGTAGTCAGAGCGTGAATTACCTACCCCGCTTTCGCTTCCAGGCGAAACCAAGCCATACCACGCGCCTCCTCGTCAAGCGGCCTGACCAGTACAGGCTGCTTGGTATCTCTTGGAAGCGAGGGTGGTCAAAAGCGAGGTAGGTTTGTTTTTCCCCTAAGCAGTTGCTTCCCAGGTCTTAGATAGCCACCTTGGACCTCAGCACATGCGTCTGCCAATCCTTCGCAGGCCAGCCACAACTGGGGGAGCTGTGTTCCTTACCCCCCTGGGGGGGCCATCGATTTCGACACCCCTCTCGAGAGATCGTCGATGCGATGGGTTCCCCCAGGGGGGTAAGGACCACAGCTCCCCCAGTTATGGCTGGTCGGCTTCGCTTGCACCCGCTTGAGCGTTCCAAGAAGGGTCACGACTTCGAAGATCGAAGGAGTTGCCATCTCTTCCACGGTGGAAGGCGGCGGAAGGTCGGCGGAAGGCAAACGAGGCCGCCTCCGCCGGCGGAAGCTGGCGGAAGGCCGGCGGAAGGCGGCGAAGGTAAGAGGTGCGCCCCTAAGAGATGAAAGCGTTTTTGGGTCCAGGGTTTCAGGAATCGGAATCCGTTATATGTGCTTCTACGGTAGGTGCACCCAAGAGACTGAAACAAGGAGCACCTTGGGCTCAGGAGGGGCTGCGGCTTTCAGGCCGTTCCTTAGGTCTAGGACGGGGAGCCTACTCAAAGCCGAGGCTCGCTGTGGCCAGAAAAGCTCCCTTCGTTCTTGAGTTGGCGTTCTTTCTGGTTGGACGCGGACTGTACGCCAAACAGCCCAGTTTGCCAGCAGGTGACCCACAGACAACGGGGGGCTGTTTCAAGAAGGCGAAGCGCCGACAGCAAATGTGCCCGTAGATCTCGTGCTTCAGGAGGGGAAAAAACACACAGACACAATTAATCGTAGATTCCCAAGAAAATATCGGAAAATGGGAAGGAAGTGGGGGGAAGACAAAACCCGCAAAAATATAGGAAAATATAGGGAAGATTTTTATTTGTGTGTATTTATTTGCGTGTCCCAGGGTCTTTCAGTCTTGCAAATTTTGTCTTACCGCACGTGCCCGCGGCAGCCAGCCCCGGAGGCCGCCGGCGTGGATCACCGCGAACCCCAACTGGGAGGACGCGGACCGGTTCAAGGATGCCGTGCGGCGGCGGTACGGCCACATGCTCAAGGCCAGGCCGGGGCGGCAGCCGAGCGGGCGCGCCGGAGGGGCGGGGTTCTGGAGAGGGTCTCTTTGCCTCCCGTTGTCGCCTTCATCCACAAAGTTCAGCCTCCTCCTCCTCGTCCTCCTCCTCCTCCTCCTCCTCGTCCTCCTCCTCCTCATCCGATGCAAGTCTTGCCCAAGTGCCACCAGCGGCCGAAGTGTGGCAACTGAGCGGGCAGCCCTTCTTGTCGGGGCGATCCTGGGGCCAAGCCCAGGCAGACACCTCTGTACACTGTTTCGTTTCCACCCACAGTGCATTTGCCATGAGAGATGTGGCGGCTGCGAGACCGCCGCTTTCGTTGGAGCAAGAATTCGACCTTGTGACGAAGAGGATGGATGGCATGAGCGACGACGTGCGTAGTGTCGCCGTCTTCGTTGGCAAGGTCGATTGGCTGAAAGACACCGTCGATGCCCACGCCGCTCTGTTCGCCAACATCCGCTTTGATCAGGCGCACCTCCATGCCAAGTTCGAGCGTGCTGCTACTGGTGGGAGGAGTTGCTGCTCGACGGCTGAGAGTACCGCCAGCTGGTCCGTGGTCGACGGCAACACGTTCAAGCGCGGCAGAAGAGCACACTCCGCTCCCCCTCCTGCCCGTCCTCAATACCCATGCAAGATTTGGATTGGTGGGTTCCCACGGAAGCTTAGGGGTGTGCAGTTCCAGGCGCATTGGGATTTCATCCAGAACATCACCAGCCAGGTCGTGAACGAGGCCGCGAGTCCTATGTATTTCAATTAGCAGTGCGCGTACTCCGTCGCATTCTGTCTTGAGGAACAGGCCAAGGATTTCATCCAGCTCACGCGGACGAGCGAGGTCAAAATGACCTGGACCGACCCGACGGACAGCTCCACCAAGCTCCTGAGAGCACGCCCCGACCAGACGCTAGACGTTGGGAGCAAGCAGAAGGTGCTCGGCAAGCTGTTGGGAACTGACTGAGCGAGATCAGGAAGCCTGCCCGCTGGTCGCACGAGTCCAAGATGGGCACCAACGGCCCGAATGGTATCTTGTTCGGGGTCTGCCCTGTCGACGTCTTTGACCTCTTATCCCTCGAGCCTGGCCTTGGCGACACCCTCAGCATCGTCCCCAGTTAGGAGAGCCTCAAGCCCTGGAGCGCCATCGTGCCGAAATTCCTGGAGATCATCGCGGCCGCCTCGTTGTAGGATGACCGTCTGCTGTGCTTTTGGCGATCTCACATTCTGCGATCCGCATCTCATGCCTCTCGGTCTAGCTCCCGCCCCCTTCCTCTGAAGCGAGCTCAGGTGGGTGAGAACCCTGGCGTGCAACGGGCTGGCCGACCATGTTCCAGCACCTCCTCCTCGTCCTCCTCCTCCTGTTCCTCGTCCTCGTCGGCGTCTTCGCCTCCGGAATCAAAAGGTCGCAGCAGGTATTTTGAATGCCCCCCTTTCTGGCCCCATCAGCATTTGCAGTTGGAATGCTCGCGCTTCGGATGTGCCCCTGGCTCCACTGGGCTCCAAAAGCGAAAGCAAGGTCAATTGAAATATTTTGCCGCCAGACATAACGTGTTGCTCCTGCAGGAAACTTGGGAGCCCGATGTGATGATGAGACTATTCGGCGCCTTCTCCCTCGGCGTCGCGCAGGTGGCTGTGCTATCGCGAATAAGGACTCGCGACACCATCGAATGCACCAAGCGGGGCGCTTGCACTCAGTTATACTGTATGGGAACAGTGGGCGCTTGCAAATGATGAGTATTCACGTTCGTCCAGAGTTATCCGTTCATCAAAAGCGGCAGGTTCGGCGCCCCGGAGATGCCGCGGGTGTCCGAGCAGCCGCGCCCTGGGGAAAATCATGGATCGCGCCCGCTCATCGGCTCCGGGCCCTGACGGATTGCCTTTCGAGGCGCCGAGATTCGCTCCCCGCGGGGTCGACATTCTGTGCGACGGCGCGAGGTGGATGCTTGACGGCTTCTCCTCAGGCTTAGACTTCAATTGCGCGGTCGGAGTCTTCGCGCCGGCGGGCTCGGACGGCGACGGCGGCGGTGGTGCTCTCCGGCGAGCTTCCAACGCGAGATCCCCGGGCATCGAAGACGCTGGCAACGAGCTCACGACGGCGACGTGCCACCGTTGTTTCTTCATCGGGTGGCCCCCAAGGGCCCACGGAAAAAATTGGCCATGTGGCGGGGGAAATTTCGGGGGCAACTTCGTCGATCCAGGTGCGCGCGCCAGGGCGTGTGGCGTGGCTAGCCCGTTGCTGGCCCGACTCGGGCCAAAAGTGGGCGCCGATGGCCGCGGGCTCCCCGCCGACCCCGCAGGCTTTGAAGATTTGTTCGAGGCAACGCATAGGGATCGGACGCTCGGGGGGGCATGCTCCATCACGCGCAGAGGCTGTTCGACATGGCGGGTAGAATGGTCCAGGGCTGGTCTGCGCAGGGCATGCTCATAGCGTTCTCGTCGGCGCCACGTTTGCACTGCCTCCGCCAGGACATCGGCGCAGCTGGCCGAGGCATCGCGCGCGCGTGCGCGACCGATGTCGCCATGACCCATCGTCGCCTCCTCCCCAGACCCCCGACGTCATGATTTTTTCATGACGTCGACCCCCAGAGATCTCGACCCATTCCCCGGGACCGGTTTTGCATCCTGAGTCGTTTTTTGACGCTCCCGAGGCCCGGTGAGGGGCCCCAGAGGCTGAAAATTCGGAAAAACCTCCTGTCATGATTTTTTCATTTCTCGAGGGGGTCTGGGTCTACATGCGGCAGTGGTTTTGAGTCTACACAGGGCGGCCGGGCCCGTGGCCGACCCCGAGCGGAAGCCCATGGAGTGCTCCGCGGCGCCCGCAGGCGCCCCTCCCCCCTTCCGCCAGGCAGCAGCAAGCTCGAGGTCGAAGCCTGGGTCTTCTCCTCCTCCTCCTCCTCCTCCTCCTCCTCCTCCTCCTCCTCCTCCTCCTCCGTCTCTTCCTCTTCCTCCTCCTCCTCCTCCTCCTCCTCCTCCCCCTCCTCCTCCTCCTCCTCCTCCTGCTCCCCCTGGCTGGGAAGACTGGATGAGGACGTGTCGGGCTTTCTCGGGATGCTCCTGCGCCCTGGCCCGACCCGGAGCACCCCCGGCCAGAGCCCGTCGCGAGGTGCATCCAGAGGCCCCGCGCCATCGGATCCCAAGGCAGTTCCTCGGAGGTCTCAGCTGCCTGATACCGGATCGGGTTCGTGCACCCAGCGTTCTGTCCCACGTCGCTCAATATGTACCCCGCCGAATCGGCTTCGACACCACGAGTGCTACATTTTCCCGCGCCTCCCTAACACGTGAAGGGATCGGTTCGGTTCGGCCCGGTCCGGTTCTGCAGCCGGTTCGCTGTTGCTTGGCCGGTTCGGTTTGACACCGGTTCTGTTCCGGCCGGTTCGGTTTGGGTCTATCTCCGGTTCGGGTCGGTTCCTGTTTTTCGCTCGGTTCGGTCCCACCGGTTCGGTTCGGTTCGATTGACGGTGTGGTTCGATTCGAGCCAGCCGGTCCGGTTCGGTGCGATTAGCGACGTTGGGCGCCCCGTTAAGCGACGGCCCAGCGAGAGCAAAAAGGAGGAGGAGGAGGAGGAAGAAGAGGAAGAGGAATGGGAGAAGGAAGGAGGAAGGAACGAGGAGGAGGAGGAGGAGGAGGAGGAAGAGGAAGGGGAGAAGGAAGGAGGAAGGAACGAGGAGGAGGAGGAGGAGGAAGAGGAAGAAGGGGAGAAGCAAGGAGGAAGGAACGAGGAGGAGGAGGAGGAGGAAGGAAGGAGGAAGGAACGAGGAGGAGGAGGAGGAGGAGGAGGAGGAAGAGGAAGAGGAAGAGGAAGGGGAGAAGCAATGAGGAAGGAGCGAGGCACAGGGCCGCGGCGCCGCGAGGTTCGGCCTCCGGGGGCTCGGGGGCAATTTGTTGACGCTTGGGGCTTGCCTGGCCACGCGTGGATCCGCCTGGAAGTGGTTGCCCCCGCCTCCCTCTCGGGCCGGACGAAAGGGGGGGATTGGGAAAGGGGGGGTTACGAAATTTGCTGCATGCAGCTGGTTTCGGCCTCACCGAGGGGCCCATTCCTCGATACATAGTCTCCTCCGGCGCTGGGAGGCGCCGGAAAAATCAGCTACGTGAGCTGATTCTCAAACCCCCCCTTTGCTATCCCCCCCTTTCGCACGACCCGACCCTCTCCTGAGAGGGCCGCCGCCGACAGGCCCGCCGAAGAAGAAAGGTCGCCACAGGGGAGAGTCGCGACGGGGGAGGGGTCGCGACGGGGGAGGGGTCGCGACGGGGGTGGTGGCCAGTGGACTGCAAGTGGGGTGGTTCCCGCGGGAACCCGGGCATCCCGGCTGCCCCTTGCCCTCGCGTGGGGGGGCAGACAAAGGGGCCCGCCGGGCCTGCCCTCCCGCGGCCCGCCGCGGACCCCCCATCACTGTCGCAACCGCCGCGGGTTGCGATGGGGGGGGGTCGCGACCGGTGGGATCGCGACGGGGTGGGTCGCGGCGGGAGGGGTCGCGACGGGGGGGGGGCGCGACGAAGGGGGTCACGACGGGGGGGGTCGCGACGGGGGGGGCGCGACGGGGGAGGTCGCGACGGGGGGGGGGTCGCGACGCGGGGTTCGCGACAGGAAGGGTCGCGACGGGAAGGGGTGCGACGGAGGGGGTCGCGACGGAGGAGGTCGCGACGGGGCGGGGGTCGCAACAGAGAGGGGATCGCGACGGGGAAGGTCGCGGAGGGGTGGGATCGCGGAGGTGAGGGTCGCGACGGGAGGGCTCGCGACGGGGGGGGATCGCGACGGGGGGGGATCGCGACGGGGGGGTTCGCGACGGTGGGGGGTCACGACGGGCGGGATCGCGACGGGGGGGTCGCGACGGGGGGGGTCGCCGTGTGGGGGGAGAAGGTCGCGACGGGGGGGGTGGCCAGTGGACTGCTCGTGGGGTGGTTCCCGCGGGAACCCGGGTACCCTGGCGGCGGCCCCCTGCCCTCGCGTGGGGATCCGCCAAAGGGGCCCGCCTTCCCGCGGTCCGCCGCGGACGACCCGCCCCGACTTGCCCCGACCCGCCCTTGCCTGCCTCGATCCTCCCCGATCTGCCCCGACCTGCCCCGACCCGACCTGCCCCGGCGTCCTCATATTCGTCATGATCATCGTCACCGCTTGCACATATTGGCTTAAGCTTTGGCACTGGCTGCCTCAAGCCTCGTCGTCTTCTGGGGTGGTTGGGGTACAGGGGGTCGTCGTCCTACGGTCCTGTGTGGGCTGGGTTGGGACGTCCGGTTCGGTTCCCGTCGGTTCGGTTCGGGAGCCGCCCAGTTCTGGTTCGGTTCTGGTTCGGTTCGGTTCCCCCGAGTTCGGTTCTGAATGAACTCGGTTTGGTCCGGTTCGGTTTGATGTTTCTTGTTTTGGTCCGGTTCGGTCCAGTCCGGTCACGGTTCTCGGTTTTCGGTTCGTTTTGGTCTCTTCATGCCACCATGCAGCAGCGTACCATCGCGGACGCGGGCTGGCACAGTTGGTCTTGGTGGGGAGGCCCGAAGGTGTGAAGCGAGCAGGCCGTGCGCCACGTGTCTTTCAGCCGAGCAGCTCTGTGCACATTTGAGACAGTGCACGGGGGAGTGGATCTCTTGTGCGCCACGGCTGAGCTGGAGTTGAGCATCGCGCGAGTCGTCAGCGACACATCATGGCCCGCCCGAGCACTGGAAGAGCCCCCCGTTCTCGTTCCACCTCCCCGAAGCCTCCAACTTGTTCCCGACCAGTCCCAAGCTCACCCATGCTGGACTTGCTGCCGTTGTTGCCTTCAGACTTATTCCAGATGCCGTCCCTCAAGGCTCTTGAAACCTGAAGCCCCAGATGAGATGCACCCAGGAGACGACCAAATGCCTCAACTGTGATAGACTCCTGGAAACCTTTCGCCGCCCATGCGTTCATTCAACACATTGATTGGGAACAAGTGCGCGAAGTGATCCGTAGCCCTCCTCCTTCTTGGAGTTCAGCCGTCCTCAAGACCCTTGGGGGGTGTTGGTGAGCGAGCCATCGGTTCCAAGGGGGGCCGGCTATAAATGTTGGCATTGTTGGTGGTGTTATTCTTTTATTCCGGCTGTTAGAGGGCCTCGCGGGCCATCTGGTTGTCGGGAGCGGAAAAGAGGGGGGTGATGACTAGGGGGGGTGGATATCATGGCGTGGGCCATGATATTTCCCCAGATTTCATGGCGCCTCTTCTTATTTCATTACGTCCCCGGCCCCCCGCCGGGCCGCGCACATGCCGCCGGTCATGATTCGCACACCCCCCTCTTTGACGCCCCCCTCTTTGCCGCTCCCGAGGTTGATGGGGAACCGATCGTCCGACTCGGAGACTGCTGGCCTTCGAGGGATGCCTGCTTGGTCCCAGCTTGCACATTCTAATCGTGCATTGCTCCACACGGTTTACCTTCATCTTTCCGCGGCACCGTCGCTACGCTTCCAAGCGAGGTATGTTATTCCGACGGCTCGTTTCCAGTCGAGAGGTCGACCTGCAGTTCTGCTTGGAGGGCGGCGTGATACGTAGTGGATTCAACGAGTCCTCGGGACACGCGGGGAGGAGGAGGAGGAGGAGGAGGAGGTGTAGGAGGAAGAGGCGGGGGCGGAAAGGAGGGAGAAGGGAGTAGGACGGCCGCGAGCAGGCATGGCGCAAGCTGCTGGACAGGGACGGCTCGACGACGTGCAGCTGGCAGGAATTCCAGGCCCATCGCTCTCGCCTCCGTGTCCGTGCGCGCTCCTTCACTGCTTCCTTTTCTGTGCTTCTCTTCCCCCTCCTCCCCTTCCTCCAGTTCCTATCCCGCTCTCTTATTTTTGATGTCCCTCGCTCACTCTCTCTCTCTCTCTCTCTCCCTCCTATACGTGTCACTTTATGTATATATATATATACATCTATATATATATATATACATATACATATGTGTATATATAAACAAATATACATATATACATGTATATCTCTATCTCTCTCTCTTTCTCTCTTTCCATCTTCCTCCCTCTCTGCCCGACTGTATCCATGGGATGGCGTATCCATTGGGTCGAGCTTCTGCACCCGTCCGGCGAGAGCATGGGTTTGGATGCCCGCTGGGCGTGGCGATGTTCGATCTCATCCAGGTCGGGGGGGGAACCGTTTCCGACAGGTCGCGGCCAAGAGGATAAAGTTCGGCGGCGACGTGGCGGGCGCTTGGCTCGCGCTGGACGAGGACCCGACACAACGACGACGACGATGACGACGACGACGACGACGACGCCCTCACGCACACCCGCTGGCCGCGGGCGTGCCCCCCCCCCCCTACACACACACACACACACGCGCACACACGCACACACACATACACACACGCACACACACGCACACACACACACACACACACACACACGCACACGCACACACACACACACACACACGCACTCACACACACACACAAACACACACGCACACACAAACACACACACGCACACACACACACACACACGCACACACACACACGCACATTCACATACATACATTCATTCACACACACCCACGCACACTTCTTACGTCGGCGGCTAGGCAGAAGGACTGCGCTGGCGGATAGGGCGCCGGTAGCATAAACGAACGCGAATTAGGCCGCGATGCACGAGGGGGGAGGAGGAGGACGCTCGGCGGTGGCGGGGGAGAGATGGAGGCCGGGCCCACTCAGAGCAGGGCTAAACATATACACACACATCCTTAGCGATTTTGGCTCAAGGGAATGCGATTCCCCGACGATCGCGAGTCCGAGAGGGCGGCTTGAGCGCGAGGGGCTGCGCTTTGAGCCAAAGTTTCTCCGGCTTGCCGTTTTCAAGGTAACAATCTTCAGCCTTTACCTCCTGGCCCGTGTGGCCGCCGACTGCTGTGCTCCCGGGGCGCGATTCGCTCCTTGAGGGGGGGGGTCGTGTCGGAGCGATGGTGCCGCAGGCGGCCAGGCGCGGAGCCGAAGTCAGCGGGGGGCGGGGCGACACCAGGAGAAGGTGGTGTTGCAAGTGGTGCTGAACATGTTGAGAATTTATCGAGCGAGACGCGTGTTTGTTGTTACCGAATGTTCCTTTCCTGGGGGCCAGAATTCAGAGGATGTCCCAGGTAGAATGTTTGTTTTCACGCGCCCAGGTCTTGAGGATGTCTCGAGCGAAACGCATGGTTTCACGCGGCCAGGCTACCCAGGGAGATGTCCAGCATGAGGGTTTAGCCCCTCGTCAACTGTGCGGAATAGCTCTCATGCCGCAGCTGCGGTATGCCCAGGGCGGTGGCATGCAAATGCAAGCCTCCACAGACTGGTGGCCCGTCGGCCTCAGCGCGCAAGCCGCCGTGGAAGGACGGCGGGCCGCTTGCAGCGCAGCTGGCGGCTATGCAGGGGCAGGTCTCTCAGCTCAAGGGCGAGCTCAATGAGGCCAAAGCGAAGCCACCTGCGGTCGAGCTGGACGCTGACGATGGGGGAACCGGCGAGTCACCGACCAAGGAGCGAATTGCTGAGCTTCATGGCATCATCCAGAGCTTGGCTGGCATCGCTGCTTCCCAGGTGTAGGCGCTGGTGGACGGCTACATGGTGGAGCGTGACAAGCTACAGAGCCAGCTCTTCGAGGAGAAGCCTGCGACCCAGCGGGTCAAGGCGCTCACGTTTAAGATCAATCGAGCGGAGCAGCAGATCGCCAAGCAGCAGGCTGCCCGCGATGCCAAGCAAAAGCAGCTCGATGAGCTTAAGGCAGAGCTGGAAGAGTAGGACGGCGTGCTCAAACAACAGTGCGCGACGCTGCTCGAGCTTCAGGGCCACCGGGCGCAGGTGTGCGTCAGCCTTCCTGGGGCACCCGCGGCCCCGCCTGGCGCATCAGCAGGCAGGAGAGCCAGGCACTTGGAGCTTGCCTCGTACGGCGCAGTGTCTCATCGACGCTGGGGCTGGGCCCGAGCTCCAGGCTGGGGGGGGAAGTCTGTTTGGCGAAGCTGCGCAAGCACCGTGCTGAGCAGCAGGAGCGTGCCGCCGCTGGGGCGGCAGCTGCAGCAGCCAGCAAGCCCGCGCCCGGCGCAGGGGGAGGGGCGGCGGCCTCCGAGGACGCCAAGATTGGCGACGAGGAGGAAGAGGAAACCATCGACAATGAGGTGGATGAGGCCTCGGCACAGGACATTCGGAACTTCCTGCAGGAGATGGACGTTATCATTCCTGATCCTGTTGATGAGTCAAGAATGCGGGCGGCCGCCAAGCGCCTGCGGCTGGCCAGGAAGAGATGGAGGATTCTTAAGGAGCCCGTTGCCCATGGAGAGTATCCTGTCGCCTGCCATGGCGAGGTCAACTTTGAATATCACTACGGTGCATACAAAGTCACACGGATACCTTTGGGAGTATTTGGTGGGCTGCGACGGCGAAGTGGTCGCTGCGCAGGAACACCACGCGGAGTTGGACAAGCTCCTTGAGACCCAGGCCGACATGCTGGATGCATGTTGTCGAGGCGCCTGGGGCACGGCGAAGTCCACAGTGGGCGGCGGCGCTGAGGGGGACGTCGCGGTGCTGGCCAGGGCCGACATGCAGGTGACGCAGGCGCCTCTGCTAGACGGCTGCGTGGTCGTCGACGGTCGCGCACTGGTGGCGCATGTGCACGCGGCCATGCAGGGAGGCATGGTTATGATCTCCCTGTGCCGTTACACAAGCGAGGAGCGCTCGCCGCGCAACCTGGCGTTAGTCTGGGCCGTTCTGCAGTATGCGAAGCGGGTCGCGGACACGGGCTGCTCGTGGGTGGTCTTCAGCGGTTTCAGCATGTGTCCACAGGTTGAGCATGATTGGTCGTTGCCTCGCCCCGTCGACGCCCACATGCGAGCAGGCCGTCCCTGCCACCACGCTGGATTATTTCATCGTGCGCACCTCCGTAATCAGGGGCATCGACTGCTAGGCGGAGACGCACATCGGGGACAGCACCTGGTCGCACCACCCGGCATGTCTGAATATGGCAAGGCCAGCCGAGAGGAAGGGAGAAGAGGGTCTCTAGGGAGCCCAAGCCTTTTCCCACGTCAGGTGCCAGTTGGGCGCGCACGCTACCCTTGGCAGCCATGGGAGGAGGTTCGCCGGTCCATCGATGCCGCTGGCTCTCTTCAAGAGCTGGCGGAGGCACGGGACTTGGTGCCACGCGGGGTCGAGGAGGAGCTGGCCGACAGGCGCGACCTCGCTGGCCAACAGCGCTGGGCTCACCTCGGCCGAGAGGGCCCTCCGAAGATGGAGACCACCCAAGTCAAGTGGGATCTGCCGAGGCGACGCCTTCGGCATGGGCCAGACGTCACTTGCCAGTTTTCTGCACATGCGGACACGCGCAAATCCCACAGCCCGCCTGCTGCGCGCCAACGCCAACGTGGGTTGCGCAACGCATGTCTGCACCTGAAATACATTCAAACATACATTTTTGTATATATTATATGCATATGGGCTGCTAAATTATCTGATCGTCGACGCATGAAATGAGTGAACGGTTCTCTTGTGTGAGCATCTTGCGATCAGAAAATGATGTTTTTTTTCTCATTGAATGCTCTGCATTGCGGTTTCGATTGCAGGTCGTCGTGGTCTGTCGCCTTGACATGTCCCGCGGTGCACTCCCGTGGCGCGTCCCCACCTTCATGCGCATTTCGGACTTATCCACTAAGGTTATATAGCGATAGGTGTTAAACACTTATTATAAGCCAGCTCGCTCGCATAATAAGTACTGATACGTACTAAGTTAGGTCGAAAGTTCAGCCATTCTTAAGTCAGAACTGACTCGAATTTACGCGCATGCTAATAAGGCCTTTGGCGGCCCCCCTTGGCTGCATCGAAATTTGCAAAAGGTATATCGAAATAATACGGCGACGCCGGTCGAGCGCATTTTAAACCGCGTTTTCGGCGAAACTCTGGAGGTGGCCGGGGCCAGGGGCGTGCCAGAGGAGCGGCGACGCTATCCGAGCGCGCCCCATGGGCCCTTGGAAAATTTCCCCATGTTGCTTGCTCGCGCACTACGCGCGCGATGCAATGTGATGCGCCATGGTTTGTTCTTTGGTTTGGGGGGTCACGGCGGAGGCGGGGGAGGTTCATACAGTGGCCAATGTGCCAGCCCGCCAGGCCCGTCGCCGCGGGCCCCGCCGCCGAGCCGTGGAGCGGCACGGCGGCGGGGCGTGAGTGTTTTTGGGGGTCCTCTGGCGGTCGCGCTGGCAGTCGGCGACAGGGGCAGCGCGGGTCTGAGTCTTGTGGGCGTGCCACGGGTGCCCTCGCAAGGAGGGCGGCGGTTCGGGGGCGGAGGAGGACGGAGGATATTCTGTGTTTTCTGTTTGGATGCCCCCTGTGTGTATGCATGTACACATACATGTACCGATATATATATATATAGATATAATGCGTGTATCCTTTTCCTGGCAGGGGAAAGGATCGCCCGCTCGCTGGCCGATCGCGGGCCCCCCAGGCGCCCGCCAGGCGCCCTCCTTCGGCCCCCCCCCGCGCCAGTCAGCCAGCCAGGACCAGTGGCGCTGGTGACAGTGACAGAAGGGCAGGAGGGGAAGGAAAAGGGGGGCAGGTCGCGCGCTTCGCGGCTCCATGGCTCCACCGACAGCCGCAGCGGTTCGCGCATTCCTCACGCGTTTCGCGGCTAGGGGGCTCAATCGAGTTCATTCTGCAGCGGCTGGCCGTCGTCAGACAAATTGGCCCCCGTGGCCAGGGGGGGCTCTCCACGTCGGGATGGG